CAGAAATAGAAAAAGCAATCCTCAACTTTATATGGAATGGCAGGAGGGTCCGAACAGCTGGAATAATGTTGAAAGAGAACAAAGTAGGAGGACTTACATTTCCTGACTTTAAACTGTACTATACAGCTCAAGTAATCAAAACAACCTGTTATTAGTACAACAGACTCACAGACCAATGGAATAGAATTGAGAGTCCCGAAATAAAACCACACATTTACAGTCAACAGATTTTTGACAAGGGTGCTAAGTCCATTTGATAGAGAAAGAGTCTCTTCAATAAATGGTGCTGGGAAAACTGGATTTCCACATGCATGAAAATGAAACAGGATACATGTCTTACACTATAAAAAACATAAATTCAAAATGGATTAAGGACCTAAATGTGCAATCGAAAACCATAAAATTCTGAGAAGAACAAGCAGGGGCAACAGTGTCAGGCCTAGCTTTCAACAAGGGATTAGCTAACATAATTAAAAAAAAGCACAAACAGCAAAAGACAAAATAAATAAACAGGACCTCATAAAAATTAAAAATGTTTGTTCATCAAAAGACTTTATCAAAAAAGTGAAAAGACAAGCTAACAACTGGAAGAATATCTTCGGAAAACATAAATCCAGCAAGAATCTAATAACCAAAATATATACAAAACTTCAAAAACTTAACAAAAAGACAAATAACCTAGTCATAAAACGGGCAAAGGACTTGAATAGACATTTCACCAAAGAGGACATTCAAATGGCCACCAAACACATGAAAAGATGCTCAGAATCATTAGCCATCAGAGAGATGCAAATCAAAATTACAATGAGATACCATTTCATTCCCACTACAATGCAAAGGTTTAAAAAATTTTTTTAATGAGAAAATAATAAATAAATAAATAAAATTGGAACCCTTACCCACTGCTAGTGGGAATGCAAAATGGTACAGCCATTGTGGAAAACAGTGTGGCAGTTCCTCAAAAAACTAAAAATAGAACTACCAAATAACCCAGCAATTCCATTCCTAGGTCTATATCCAAAAGACTTGAAAGCAGACATTCAAAAAGAGACTTGTACACAAATGTTCGTTGCAGCACTATTCACAATAGCCAAAAGGTGGAAACAACCTAAATGCCCATCAACAAATGAATGGATAAACAAAATGTGGTACATACATACCATGGACTACTACCCAGCCAGAAGGAAAAATAAAGTTTTGATACATGCTACAGTATGGATGGAGCTTGATGACATTATGTTGAGTAAAATAAGCTAATCACAAAAGGACAAAGATTGTTATGACTTCACTTACATAAAAAGACAATAAAAAAGTGAATGTATAGAGACCAAAGTTTATTAGTGGTTATCAGGGGTGGATGGGAGGAAAAAAAGGCAGGTTAACGGTGATTAATGGTAGAGTTGTACAGCCAATTATTATAATTACTGTCAATAAGTTGTACCCTGTAAAAAGTTGAATTTGCAAAAGTTGTGTGATAGACATGTTTACAACAACAACAAAAAGTAGCTGCTGAGGCTGCTTATGTACAACCATATACCTCATGGGATTTGGTTCCTTGGCTTGGAAGTTTAGAGTCATGGCTTCATGGGACATCCTAGTTAATCGGCCTAATAACATATTTGGTGCTTCTATTCTACCTCCTAGTTCACTGAGTAGTGCCTGGGGTCTTAAAAGCTTGAAAGCAGCCATCCAAGCCACAACAATTGGTCTCTATTCACCTGGAACAACAGACGAAGAAGGAGAGTCAGGAATAGGAGGAGGATATGGAATGTGTGGCTAATTGCCTCCATGAACAACGGCCTCCTTTTCCATGAGACCAGAGAACTTGGTGGTGCCTGGCTACCATTACTGAACATTTTGATCAAAGATTCCATAGAAGAATCCTGATCAAAAGCAGCAAAATGCATAACAGAATTTAAAATTCTTATGGCCTCTAGACTTTCTGGAGTCATACAGGGTGGATGAACCCCTGAAACTATTGCCCTGAGATAATCTTAAAACCTAAACCAAAAATATCCCCTGCCCCATAAAACCAAATGAGACTAATGAGGCACAGCAGTCCAGGGACAAAGGCCAGAAGGCAGAAGGGGACAGGAAAGCTGGTGATAGAGAACCCAAGGTTGAGTAAGGATAGTGTTGATGTGTTGTGAGGTTGTTAACCACTGTCATAGGGCAACATGTGTACTAACTGTTAAATGAGAAACTATTTTATTCTGTAAACCTTCATCTAAAGTGAGAATAGCAGCACAATGGGAAAAGCGTAGTCAATGTCACTGAACTGTGCATGTAGAAATTTTTGAAATGGTGTATCTTTGGTTATATATATTTCCACCAAAAAAAAGGTCAAGAAGGGAAAGGGTTGACATGTTGTGGGGTTGTTAACCAAGGTCATAAAACAATATGTGTACCACTATTTCATAAGAAACTATTTGTTCTGTAAGCCTTCTGTAAGCCTTCACCTGAAGTACAATTAAAAAAAAAAGAAAAAAGAAATCCCCTGAAGTCATCTTAAAACCAAACAATAATTAGCTTAATTAGAAAAAAAGTAATATACCTTGAGCATTATGCTTTTTTAAGAACTATCTATATGAGATCAAATTGACAACAGTAACTCGAAAGATAAGATAGGAACCTTAGGGTCCAGTGATATTACGTTAATGAATGAAGAACAACTCAGAAAAGGGGGGTGAGAATGGTTGCACAACTCAAAGAATGTAATCAATGTCACTAAATGGTACCTGTAGAAACTGTTGAATTGGTGTATGTTTTGCTGTATATACTCTCAACAACAACAACAACAACAAAATAAATAAAATTCAGAGGAAAAAAAACTAGTGGTGTCTTACTATGTTAGCAATTCTCAAACACGGAGATAAGAAGCTAGAAGATCTTCCTAAAGGACTGAATATCAAAATTTCAGGAAGGATCTATTTTTCAAACTACATTTGTCACCCATGGTGAGAATCACTGAAGCATGGTAAGATTAAACAAAATGTAAAGTTCAAATTAACTTTCTTCTGCTCTAGCTTTGAACTCTCATCTCAAAATTTTATTTAACTCTGTTCTTAACAAGGCGAAGTAGAAATCACCCTGATTCTTTCCTTGTAAACTCACCTCTCACTTCCAAAGTCCCATCACCATATATGTATACTTAACAGCCTCTAAATTGCATCACTTTCTCCCTTGTCTTTTTCTTTTTTCTTTTATTAATTTAGGGATTTCTTTAATACTTCTTATTCCTAATTCCAGTAGAAAAACTATCACTAAAATAACCGTAGTAACAGCTATGTGCTAGACACTGTTGAAATTGAGGTACAAATAAATTAAGAACCTTGTAGTTAGTAGGTGGGGAACTGGGATTTGAACCCAGATCTACTGGAACCCATGGCTCATAAGTCTACACTCTTCACCACTATGCTATATTAGCTCTGTTCCCTGAACTTGTCAACATGCCACACTCTGGCACAAAGTTGGGGCTTACTGTACATTTAGTTCTTATTTACTAACACTGAATGGTCCACTTCAAGTCTCAGCAATTTTGTAAATTACCACAGTTCTCTTCCAGCTATACATTTCATAAAGCAGACAAGCCCTTTTCTTTCAAAATAAACATTTTTCCTTTAAAATTTAAAAACCTCTTTTTTCAATTAACAGAGAAGTAATAACATACTCAATGTAATAAATATAAGCAACACAGAAGCATAAAGTAAAAAATGAAAGTCTCCCCATTCACCAAGCATACCTCTTCCTAGAGATAACCACTGTGTTAACAATGTAGTATTTAACCTTCCATATTTGTTTATGGAAATGTTTACAACATTTTCTCTGTATATAAGACACAGCTGAATTAAATAAAACATAGATAGTTTTAAAATAGTCACATAATGGTTTCCTCACATCTTCATTGTAATCTACAGTCTCCGCTCCATCAAAAAAAAAAGAAAGAAAACAAGAATAAATAAGTTTATTAGCAGTTACAAGAGGCAGGCAGGAGGTGGGGGGGAGGGAGGAAGGAAGACTCAATGCTTAACAGACAATGAGCTTCTGTTAAGGGTGATGAAAAATATGGGAATGAATAAAGGGTGACTGACTGATGGTTGAACAACATGACAAACATAACCTAATGTCACTGAACTGTGCATATGAAGAATGTTGAAATGGCAAATATTTTGTTATGTTTTTACCATAATTAAAAAAAAAAAAAAGACTAATCCAGCATCTTTTCATGGAAAAGATGAGGTACAATTGATAAAAGTTTTTATATATAAACAAATCAGAACCATATTCAACTCTTAAAAAAAAAAATTCAAAAATCTCAACCAGCTACGCCTATACATATTTTAGCAACAATAATACAAAATGAAGTAAGAATTCAACCACAGACTCTAAAACAAAAATAAAAAAAAAAAAAAACAAGAATGTAGATAAAAATCCTGAATTCCCTGGAAAGTTCCAAGTAACTTCAGAGGATGATCAATTACAGTCTTTGTGCCCATTTCAGCACACCTATAAATTCCCTAAGAGACACAGAAACTGACTCACCCCACAGAAGTTTCTCTAGAATCTGGGCTCAAATCTAAGATGAAAGTACACTCCTTCGAGGAAGCTGTGGGCCAGGGCAAGTTTCTGTGGGCATGAGAATACATTCCCAGCTGTCTCTGGAGCCATGTGGGGATGAGTCTGCCCAGCACAGTTTTGACCACTGTTTTGGAACTACCAGTTTGGGGGCCAATCTATGGTGAACAGCACAGCACAAAAGGAATCTGTGTTGCAGTCAGTTACTAAGAGACTGGCCATCACTGGTCAAAGTACAAACACAGCTTTTCCAGAAACCTCCAGTCTCTCATACGCCAATAAACAGCTTTGGATTTATGAATCAACTGACAGCTTCCATCACTTTTATAAAACTAACAGAAATAAATTGCTTTCATTTTTTAGAAGAAAAATACTACTACTTCAAAAATATTTACAAGCGTCACATAATAATCCAAATCTCTTACCTTTGGCTGGCCCCTGAATTCCCAAGAGTCACCATTATTGACATGAAAGAAAAGGGAGAAGGGAGGGGAGAGAAATTTAGTTTAGAACACTCATTTTATAGGGTAAAATGATAATAGATATTGTGCAAATTTGCAATAAGAATATAAAATACTACCTTTGAAACCAAATGGCAATTTATAACAAAGAATAAATGAATGTCTATTAGCTAATAGGGTGGGATACTAATTAAGAAAACTGACTTATGTGACTCAGGTAGATGAAAGACTATCCAAGCACTGGATAATGTTAAGTCCTAATATTTCTGCCTCATGCATTTTGCATATCCTTGTACACATCTTATAAACATGAAAAAGAAAAACTTTACTTTTTATTATTGATTTCACTTTCAAGTAGTTTTCTCTGCTTTGATAAAGAAGCAGTTTACTACTCTCCGTCTCTACAGACGCTTCTATAAAAAGTGAATTCTATCCTGGTTAAGAAAAAGAGGTTAAATTAAAGGAACAACTAATTTCTTGACAATGAATTACTACTTATTCCTCTTCACTTTACCCAGCTACTTCTAACATCCCTCCCACCCTATGAAACTGCCACACCTACATCTGATTTCAAATTTAGAGAAAAGTTGTAAGAAAAACACAAACAACTCCCATAGACCCTTCATGCAAGTTCAACAACTGTGGCTACAATTGCCCTATCATTCCCCTCCCTTCCTCCGTTTCTGTCTTCCTTCCTTCACTCTCCTTTTCCCCCTTCCCCCTCTACACTTCTCTCCCTTCCCTCCAAGCTCCTTCTCTTTGTACATATAACCCAAACCAAACCCACTGCCTTGGAGTAAATCCCGACTCACAGTGACCCTACAGGACAAGGTAGAACTGCCTTATAGTGTTTCCAAGGCTGTAAATCTTTACCGAAGCAGACTGCCACAGCTTTCTTCTGTGGAGAGGCTGGTGGGTTCGAACCACTTACCTTCTGGTTAGCAGCTGAGCGGTTTAACCACTGCACCACCAGGACTCCATATATAAACCAAAACCCCAAACCTGTTGCCGTCAATTCAATGCTGACTCATAGCGACCCTATAGGACAGAGTAGAACTGCCCCATATAGGTTTCCAAGGAGAGGCGGCTGGATTCGAACTGCCGGCCTTTTGGTTAGCAGCCGAGCTCTTAAACACATGTGCACGCCCACGCGCCCATTTTTTTTTTCTGGACAATTTTAGAGTAAGCTGTAAACATCATGCCCCTTTAGCCCGAAACATTTCAGTGTACAGTTCCCAAAAACAAGGACATTCACATATATAACCAAGTACAATATCAAAATCAAGAAACTTAAAGGAACTCCACCAGACCGAGTCCAGTACAGCTACATGGTGCCCGGCTACCACCACTGACTGCTCTGACCAGGATCACAACAGAGGGTTCTGGACAGAGCTGGAGAAGGATGTAGAACAAAATTCTAACTCACAAAAAAAGACCAGATTACTGGCCTAAAGGAGACTGGAGAAACCCCGAGAATATGGCCCCCAGACACCCTTTTAGCTCAGTGGTGAAGTCACTTCCGAGGTTCACCATTCAGTCGGGGAGTGGACAGCCCCATAAAACCAAATGGGACTAATGAGGCACAGCAGTCCAGGGAAAAGGACTAGAAGGCAGAAAGGGACAGGAAAGCTGGTGATAGGGAACCCAAGCTTGAGTAAGGATAGTGTTGATGTGTAGTGAGGTTGTTAACTATTGTCACAGGGCAACATGTGTACTGTTTAATGAGAAACTATTTTGTTCTGTAAACCTTCATCTAAAGTGAGAATAGCAGCACACCTGGAAGAGCGTAGTTGATGTCACTGAACTGTGCATGTAGAAATTTTTGAAATGGTGTCTCTTTGACTATGTATATTTTCAAAAAAAAAAAAAAAAGGTCGAGAAGGGAGAGGGTTGACATGTCGTGGGGTTGTTAATCAATGTCATAAAACAATACGTGTACTACTGTTTCATGAGAATCTATTTGTTCTGTAAACCTTCACCTGAGGTATAATTAAAAAATTTTTTTAAAAAAAAAGAGGAAATTACTTTTGAAACCTGAATAAAATACAAACAATAACTGGAGCTTTAGGAATAACTGGTCCTTCTTGGAGGATCAAAGTTCCAACCCAAACCCAAAACTTGAAACTATATGTGGAAATGCTTCCTTCTAATCATCTGTACATCTCCTTGTCCCTTTGTCTCATAAGATCTTCTTCTAAAATTAACTGAATAAATGTATTTATATCAAATTATTTCAGATTACAACACTAAAACTTCAAGGAAAGTCTTGCAAATGAGTGACACTTGTCTAATAGATTTTGGAGTAATATCCAACATGGCTAACATATCTAAGAAAATAATTTCTTAGGAACAAGAGATACAGAAAAACTTCCTGACAAAAAGAGTTGTGAAATACTGGTAGAGGTTACTGACATAAATTATCATCTTTTTATAGGTCTTTATAAGCCAAACAGATTCTGGCCAATTGCAAATGGCTTAATTATAAACTTAACCGGAGGTAAGAAAAGAACAAACATGTATGAAATGTCCACAATAGGCCAGGTGCATCACATGTTACTACATTTAATTCTCACAATAATTCTGCAAAATGCTATTATAATTCCAGTTTTACAGATGAGAAACTTAAGGCTCAGAAAAGTTACCGGACCCGTCCAACTAAGTAGTGACGGATCAGGGATTCAAAACTAGGTCTTCTGACTCCAAAATTTAAATTCTTTCCCTATCCCACATTGGTCAAAACAGTCTCTTCAAGTTTCTTCTAGACTCAAGAATCTACGACTCATATATTAACAACTGCTCCTCCTAACAGAAACATTTCCCAATGTATTAATTTCTTCCATTCTGATTATTATCCAATAAAAAGGTTATTGTTTGGTGATTATACTAGTGTAAGTTTACTGTTTACTATATTTATTAAAATGCAGATTATCTTTTATGACAGAAAAATAAGATATTTAGTATGATATTTCAAGTTTAAATAAAATATTTTTATACAAAGTAAAAATCAGCTCTTTCTAAGAAACAACCAACAAATATGAAATTAATAATGTATGACACAAAGCAGAAGAATCCAGCAGACTAACCTGAACTCAGAACATCATAATAAAAACAGAAACAAACCAGTAAATTAACTACAGAGCTAAGTTTCCAGCTAGGGATTCTGGTGGCTACAAAAGTAAAGCTCAAATAACCTGCACAGCCATGGGAAACCCAAAGATGTAATTACAGCTCTGTACAAAAATAAATAAGTAAATTAATTTATTAAACAAAACCGTTTCAAAGTGTACTTGCAATTCAATATAGCAATGCCTCACTTATCCCAAAATCCCTTATTTAGAAACTTCAGAGAAGCGGGGCCAAGATGGCGAAGTAGTTGGACGCTTCGTGGTCCCTCTTACAACAAAGAGCTGAAAAAACAAATGAATCCATTCTAGGGGCCCTGAACATCAAAAGCAAAGCTGAGGAATCAGACTGAGCGGCAGGGGGAGGGAGAGACAGTTTGGAAGCAGCGAGGAGTTGCCCGACCTGACCTGGCGGTAGCCAGCACCCTTCGGACAGTGAGACAGGCAGTAGTGTTCAGGAGGCATCTTCCACATCGGGAGAGACCCACAGGCAGAGAGTCTACTCAGATATCCAGAACCAGTGAAAAGCAGCCCTCAACTGGCAAAAGATAAGTACTTGCATCTGGCCTACCATGCAAGTCAAAAAAACCCCTTTGGGAAAAATCTCTCTCCCATTTACCTCCCTACTCCCAGCTCTACGCCAGGTCCTGGGATGGCTTTAGCAACTGCCCAGTCCCCTGGACCGGAAGTAGGATCCATCATACGCCCTGAGCCATTCTCCTGGCCTTGGAGAGGGAACAAATTAACAAACAGGGAAAAAAGAATCTGCCAGCTCCCCTAAGCTAGGAACTCAGGGTAGGCACAGCTCCTTTGCCTAGGCACAGACATAAGGGGTCCATGGACTCTAAACACCTTTCACCCCTGCATAGACTTCTATGAGCCCATTTCAACAGCATAGGCAGTCGTTACCACATTACAACAGGGTATATACCTGAAGTCTAACTTCAACCGTTTCAGCTGCAAAGTGGCAGGTTCATGACATGTGACACTGCTCTGCCCATTAAGCAGGGTCCTCACCTCCCACATCAGGGGCCTGAGGACTGGTGGCTCCACCAACACCACCTAGCCACCTGCGACAGGGGTCCAAGAACAAGTAGTGCCCCCCAGTCCTTACAGCCAACAGCACTGGGTGCTGACAGTCCAGTTGCAAAACCCACCCACGTGTGCACTCTAGAGAACAGGGGCATACTTTCCTCCCAGACACTCAGGGGCAGCGTTCAGCCTCCTACATTGCTGAGCACATAACCCCCTACTGCAGCCAGATACCTGAGTCTACACCAATCACCCACGCCTGTCTAGGACTGTACGTGAGGGCCTGTACCACACACTTCATAACCAACTACCTGGACACCTGAGCCGAATCCATACAAGTAAACGGACTCCTGGGCTCACATACTTAGTAACAGATCTAACCACCTGTTAAGAGGACACAGGAGTTTCAAACGTGCCAATAATCAACCTAGCTCACAAGAGCAGCCTATTTGGGCATATCAAAACAAAACAAGAAGCTAGGATGCAGTAAGCAAACATAAAATAAATAAATACTATAACTTAGTGATGGCTCGGAGACAACAGACAATATCAAATCACATAAACAGACAGACCATAAAGGCTTCAGCAAGCTCCCAAACTAAGAATCAATAAATTTAACAGAGGAAGAGAATAACTTGGAATTACTGGAGGAAGAATACAAAAGATTAACATACAGAACTCTTAAAGAGATCAGGAAGGAGACCATGCAAAATGCAGAACAAGCCAAGAAACACACAGACAAAGGAATACAGGAAAATAAGAAGGTTATTCAAGAGTATAATGACAAATTTAAAAAAATAGGCTGCAAGACTCCATAGAGAGA